TAAGGCAAGAATGCCTTGACTTTTTCCAGGGTCTTCTTTCACAGGGAAGGTTTCCAAGCCACACGTGAGGTTGGGAAGCTCTAATTCTGCCAAGAACTGAAAGCTGCTCCCGGACAGTTGGCACAGGGTGAGCGAACTCCAGTTTATCCCTGCGAAGAGTGGGGTTGCTGGCAGGGCTGCCCCCAGCCCTGCTGCTGCCCCCGGGGCTGCCCACGAAGCACCACGTCCCACAGCCTCGAAACAGCCTCCTGAGAGTCGTGGGCTGCCCACAGAAGGGGAGGTGGAGGCTTGGAGCCATCCCTGTGTCACAGCCCCTCTGCTCAGACTGCCCAGGAGGTATTTCTCAATGACAGCACAGCCTGAGTGATCCAAAAGTCCTACTTTTCCCAAAAATGAAGGGTTTGAGACCAACATTTTGGGTGTTGACTGGGGCTTACAAGTCTCCTGTAAGTGGGACTCAGTGTTTTTCCCTCACACTGTCACAGACCCACCTCACCTCTGGGTCCACACGCTGATTTTTGAGCCCCTGACGACTTTCCCAGCGCGAGTTTTCCTCCTCCCGCCTGTTGCAGGGAGGATGAAAGGCAGGGGAAGCCAAGCCCAGCGCTGAGCAAGGGATGCTCTTGGGGAGCGACGCTGGGATCAGCCCGACCGGCAGCAATTCCATCAGCACCGCCCAGCTCCAGCCTGGCAGAGCGGCAGGGGAACGTGCGGGGCTGGGGCTGGATAACACATCCCGCAGAAATAATTCATTCCAGCACCGCATTCCCGTCCCGAGGCGCGGGGCCAGGCAGGCGGCTCGGGGGAGTTCTGTGCCATGGCTAGTGAACCAGCTTAGAGAAAAGCCACACGCCCCGAGGGGGCTGCTGTTCTCAGGATGAAGTGGGTAACCCACAGCCTTTATCCTTTCCCGCTCTTTCCTGAAAAGCAGGTCCCACCCGCGGAGCTGCTCATGGATGTGCCAGAGCTTCCACAGGGATCACAGTTCTGCCCCCAGAGCTGTGATGTGGTGCCAGGGGGTTCCCTGGTGCAGAGCCCCCCTGGCAACCTAGCTGAAATCCCGGCCAAGGAGAGCAGGGGGTGCCCGTCCCAATCCGCTAAAGTGGAGGGGATTTAGGATCCGTGAATTAGGATGGGGATTGAGGATTCGGTCTTACACAGTGCCCACCGTGACTCGGGGTGGTGCCGCTCTGCCCGCCGAGGTGGAGCAGGGAGGAACAGGGATGCGGCATCCCCAGAGCATCCCCATCTGTGCCAGGGTTTTCTCCGAAACACAGGCATTTTTCGCTCGCTGTGAGTTCTCGGTGCTCTTCTTGCACTCTCCCACAACAGGCACCGGAGGGCACCTGCTGCTGAGTCAGACATCCTGCCGGGAGGAAGCAGGAATTGCTTCCCCCAGCGATGGGTTCCTGAGAAAATCGTTTGATTCTCAAGAAAATCATCAGATGCAAGTTCAGCCCCATGAGGAGCAGGGAGGCAGCGAGCCAGGGCAGACTGGGGGCACCTGCAGCCTTGAAGGCATAGCTGGAACTGATCAAGAACTGCCCCTTCCCTCCCCATCCCCTTTATTTCTTCTTCCCTCTGTAAAAAATGGGAGTGACAAAATACACCTGAGTGCTAAGATACAACAGGACTTTATTATAGGAATTACTATTAAACATCTTTTAAAAAAAATCACTTCTGGAAATAAATTCTAAAATAGCCACACTCACAAACATCACAGATCAGTTTGGTTTGCTCTTTTTAAACCTCTTTGTAAAGAAACAATACAAACATCACTGAGAATGGTACATTTTGATGTAAGAAATGCATTTTGGCTCCCAAGCCATGTTTGTGGCCTTTCTATTCATTAAACCTGATTTTTGCTTTGAAAGGACACAAAAATCATCCCTCTCTATCCTCCATTAACGTGATGCTTTGTGCCTCCAAGATATTTTGGCATGGCTACGGAGTGACATCATCCAGAGAGGCTGTGCCTGGCCTGGGATGTTTAAGGGCAAGTTGTTAGATGGTGTTAGCAAAGATATCCCCAGGGGCCTGTGCCAGCCCTGTGTGCTCACAGTGTGGTGCCCACCCTCAGCACAAGGACCTTCAAACTCAGCAGTTTCTTGCACCCTCCTGTGCCCTCCCCACAGCCCCTGCACCCCAGCTCACACCCCTTGGGCCACCCTTCCTGCCTCTCCCCATTTCTCAGAGCCCTGCAGGCTCTGGCAGGTCCTGGGGAGCATGATGGGGAGCAGAGGGTGCTGCACTCCTCGGGGACATGCTCAGCCAGAAAGCAGAGGCAGCTGCTGCCCTGGGGCTCCTCCACCAGGAAACCTTGGCTGGTTTACAGGGGTGACACGGATCTGTCACCTAACTCACAGGCTGAGCAGTCTGAGAGGAGGGACAGCATCCTCCTCTGCCCCTGGCTGCTGCCAAAGCCAGGGGTGCAGCAGGACTGACCTGTGACGTGATGTGAGACGTGCCCAGCACCAGCCTGGCCAAGGAGAGCTCAGCAGATCCTCCACAGCCCGGACAAGGAGCATGGCAAACCCTCCACAGGCTCAGCAGCAGGGAGATGTGCTCTGAGTGCCTGGGAACAAGTGCTTTGCTGCCTCAGCCCCCCACGGGCCAGCCCAGCCCCCCCGTAACCACCTCCTCGTCTGGGAGAGCAGAATTCCCTTCCCACAAGAGCCTGAGCGCCTGCCCGAGCTTCCTGTGCTCATGGAAACTTCGCTGGGAGTGAAGCCCGCGGTAGCTAAGGGGTGCTGGAACAGTGACAAGCTGAGCCGGTTCCAAGCTTGATTTTCTTCCAAATATGCAGAGACCTGCTTTGGACTGGGAGAGAATAACGGCAGCCTCCTCCGGCCCCCAGGGCCAGCAGAGGGTGGTAGGGAAGGAGCTCCTTCTCTCCACTACCTCTCAGTCTGGGAATAAATTCCCACCCAGGGACTAAAGGATTTTCTGTTCCCAGATTCACGCTTAGCTCTCTGCACCCTGAACCAGGCGGGGACAAGCTCCTCCAGACCCTCATGCTACCCTGGATGGTGCAGGGCAGCCCTGGGGCACACACTGTGGCCCCTGCAGCTCGGGGCTGCCTGCAGCATGGCTTGGGGTGACCCTAACCTCTCAAAGGCTGTCATGACTCGTGGGATGCTCCCTCGAAAGCAAAGGCGCAGACACCAAAGCTGGGACTGGCTGGGTGGCATTTCTGCTGCTCTGGAACACAAAGCTCGCTGGCATCCTGGGGTGCTCCCAGCTCAGTGCATCCTGCCCTTGCCCTCTGGGATTTATTCGAGTGCCAGTGCTGCAGGAGCGCTTCGTTTGTGCTGGAGGGGCACTACCCAGGCTCTGCAGCCCCAGACACCTGGAGGCAGCCCCAGGCCTGGCCAGGGACCAGTCCAGGGCGAAGCACACTGGTGCCCCCGATCGCCCCGCGGCTCTGGGGTGATGGCAGCAGAGCTCAACAGGTGCAGAGGCTGTGCCGCTCGCGGGGGAGGAAATCTTGGCGTCCAGTTCAAAGGCACACGGGCTCCCCTGGGACTGAAGAGGAGCCTGTCGGGAGCCTGCAGCAGGGACTTTTGTTACCAAACCCCGCGGAGAGGCAGGGAAAACAGTTGCGTGAGCGTTTGATGGCTGAGGCTCCTGAGTCTGCCGCCTTCGAAGCTCCGATCCTGCAACATTTGTGCTGAAACAGGCACGTCTAGAGCCACCTCCTGCACTTGGCAGGGAATGCCGTGCCGATAAAGGAGGAGAAAATGTGCTGGCGGGAGTGAATTCTGACTTTACGCTCTTCACTCATTACTTACACAGCAAAGGAATTTGTTTACGTAATTATTTTTAGTCTGACAGCACCTCCGAAAGCTGCGACGATTCCAGTGCTGCCTGCCAGCCCCCAGCCCTCCACTGTGGGCACGAGGAAGGGGCTCTACCTCTGCCCTGCACCAAACCAGCACTGCCCCAAAGCCCTGTGCAAACCCTGTGCTGAAAACACCTCCACACCAGCCTTGCAAACTCCCAGCTCAGGCTTTGCCTCTGGCCTATGACGGGAGAATCCCTGGAGCTTCCAAGCTCTGGGATCACCCCCAGCACCCAACACCCCACGGGATGTGTCCTGCTCCACCAGTGAGGGTTAAACTGGTGTGAAATCCAGCCCCTGGTGCTGCCCCGCGGTGGCACAAAGCGTCCCGACTTCAAGGCAGTTTTAGCAATGCCAAAGGCAAAGGTTTAATTCAAAGTGAAATGCCTAGGAAAAGAAGGCCTTTCCTTTATAAACAATTTATATTATTTGACTATTACCTGATCTGAATCTCTGCTCATTACTCCTAGCAATAATAGACAACAGCTGTTAGCTTCCCTTTCTCACGTGGTTTTTGTTCCGGTGTGCGCAGAGTAAAGTTACATCAGACCACTACAGATATGTTCAGGAGTGCTCCGGCCGAGCAGACCCCACGTGTGAACGGATCCTCGTTAGTACGACTGATTTCGTTCCTCCTGCGCCGAGAGAGCAGCCAGGACTGCTCCTCCCCAGCCTGAGCTCCGCTGGCTCCTCCACAGCTGCTCACAGCAGCTGCCTGCTTTTGTGTTCCTCTTTTTGTTTTTCCTTTTTGGCTGATTTGCTCAATAGGAAAAGTTGCTTTCAAACCACTGGTAAGAAAACCTCGTGCCTCACTTCGATACTTGTACTTCGGAGGAGTACAGCAGCGGAGGGGGAACAGCCAAAATCTGGGTGATTTATTGGGTGGTTTTTTCCTTTTTCAGCCATCTCCTGATGAAGCCTCGTGCACATCCTGTGCCAGCAAGAAACCCCAGCGCTGGGACCTGCAGGAGAGGGAGGGAAGGAGAACGGCGCGTGCTCAGCCTCAGCCACACTGTGGACAGCCCACTGATGGGGCTCGTCCCCACCCAGACACAATCCAGACCTAACCCAGAGCACACAGCACCCTCCTCCAGCCAGGATGGACAGGACCATTCATACACTCACTGGGAATCCTTTGTCCCCAGGTGCCTCTCACCATTTACTGCCCTTCCTTCGGCGTCTCCTCCTCCTCCTGAAGCTGTTGCCTCCGCGCTTGGACGTCTTCATCTAAAAGGCAGAGGCAGTTGGGGCTGCAGCCACTTCCACACAGAGACAGCAGCCGCTGTGCCTCAGCCCAGCTCCAGGGAGGTGCTTCTGGGGAGGCAGCCTGGCCCCAGCCCCAGGGCAGGGACTTCCCTGCAATTCCCAGAGGGACACTGGGATTCCCTGCCACCAGGCCTGAGGACACTGGAGGGAAGCTTTGGCCCAAGGGGGTATTTCTGCTAGGTGGGGTGATGCAGCTAGCCCTGGGGTGGTGCAAGGCTCATCTAGCCATGCTGAGCACAGCACCCCCAGCACGGCATGGCACAACTTTCCTTACCATATGCATGTCCTTCCACGTCGTCAAGAAGATTTGCCGTGGAAGCTGCTGTCCCCATGCTGTGCCCTCTGCTAAGGAAAACGAGTTGTGGGGCCAAGATGTGGGTGTAGTGTCACAAGGGCTTTCCCCAGCCTCACACCCCCCTACAGTTCCCTAGCCCGTTTTAGGATACACCTGGTGCTTCAGCAAGTGTTTTCTTTTCGATTTCCTCATCTTTGTCTTCTCGGAGAAGGCTCTGGCAAGTTCAAACAGCTTCTTGCGCGTGGCTGGAAGGAAGCAGATGGGTGAGGGTCTCACCCCAAAACCCTTCCCAAAGCTGCCACAGGCAACAGGAAGGAGACAGGCAGGGCCAGGGCTGTGAAATGCAGGTGGAAACTCAACCCCAAATCTCTGCTGCCAGGGCTGAGCACTGGCTGAGCACCGCAGCGCGCGGCGGCCAGTGCCGTTTGCGTGACTCCAGGGCAATGAGATGTGTGTGCCCAGCCACCAAGGGAGGTGCCAGGGAACCCCTGGCACGTGTGCTGGCAGGCGTGTGTGTGCTGGCTGACATGCACACACAGCCACGTGTGTACCAGCCAACGTGCACACACAGGCACACACACCGAGCAGACATGCTTGGGTGGGCACTGCTGCCCCCTGCCCGCCCTGTCCCTGCTCCCTCCAGACCCCCCGGGCATCACTCTGCAAACCCACTCACATTTTCCCATGTGTTTCAATTTGTCTCTGAATAAGGCATCGTCAGACACGGCACCGCCGGCCTCGCTGGTTCCAGAGGGGGCTACGTCACCTGGAAGGCAAACATCTGGTCAGGGGCAGTGCGTGCGCGGCCAGGGAGACAAATCATCTCCGTGACCCAGTTCCAGCGCCGGCGAAGCACAGCCCTGTCTCGAGCTGAGCTGAGCAGGTGGGATGAGGGTGCTGGTTCTGGGCAAGGCCCCCCTGCAGACACAACCCCTGGGTGGTGGGTGCAGACATGGGTGTGCAGCACACCCTGAGCACAAGCAGCCTCCCTCGGTGCTGCCTTGGTGTCAGCAGCCCCAGCTGACCCACGGCACTCACTGCAGTCTGGGTGCTGGATGTGCTCCCCAGGACAGCAGGGTCAGCAGATCAGGAGCCCCTGGGCCCGTGCCCCTGCCCCAGCTCGGTGTGCCCAGCCAGGCTGCCCGACCCCGCGCGGGGCCATCGACAGACACAGCTCTAATTCTGACTCTGGGCAGCTGCTCTGCTCCCGAGGTTAATCAGGATTACCCAGGAACAGTCATTATGCCTCCCAGGCACAATCCTCTGCTCCAGCCCCGATCAGGGAGGGCAGGATGGACAGAGGCAGAATGCAGCAGCACCTCCATGTGGGGAGGGCAGGAGTGCCCATCTCCATCACCCACTAGTTCCTCTTCCAACCTTAGAGCCAGCAGGGAGGGATCAGTGCCAGTTTCCCCCCCTGCAGCCACTCTGGAGAGAGGGCTGGGAATGCAGGGGCTGTGGGGCATCCTGCCGTGGAGGGGTGATTCTCATGTGTGTCTTGAGAGTTACCTGATAATACAGAGGAGAAACCAAAGTCGTTGCTGACAGCAACACTGGTTGACTTGGATTTTTTTGACTCATATTTCAATCGATCTGAAAAACAAAAAAGCACGGTGCCCTGCTCGATCAGACCCTCGAGGCAGAGCACGTGGCTCCACTTCCCTCTCCTCTCACAGCCCCCGTGGCTGTGGAGGGACAGGCTGATGGCAAAGGAGGGAGCTGGGGCTGCACAGCCTGATGGCAAAGGAGGGAGCTGGGGCTTTGCTTCAGCACAGTGCCCACAAGCACTGCAGTGGGAGCCTGCAGCAGCACCAGGAGCACTCCTCACAGCACCACAGGAACCGCCTGCCTGCCAAAAGCACACTCGTGGTTTTCCAGCCACCTGCAGTGAAGGTGCTGCCAGGACCCTGCAAAGCACTAGTGAGGCCTCTGAGGGAGCCAGGCCCTCGGTCAGGGGGCTTGGAAGGAGGGGAAGGACAGCTCTGAGATCTGCAGCAGTAAAACCATCCACACCCTCAAGCACTCCCCATGGCACTGGATGAGCAACCAGCTTGCTAGGAAGGAATGTGGTGACAGGGAAGGAGCAATCAGGGCAAAACTGCTCTCCGTTTCAGACCTGCCAGCACCTGGGGAGGGCACACAGCTGGGGAGGGCCCAGAGGGCATTTCCAAAGCTCCTTGCTATGGATTCTGCTGGGCTGTGCCAGAGACACTGCAGAGAGGTGGGCAGGAGGAGGAGAGCCTTGTGGCAGGCACTGAGCACCCAGAGCAGGAGCCTGGGGAGCAGCTCACTCACTGCCTGGTGTGAGTAGGTCAGACCACCTTCCCCCAGCTTGGCACTGGCTCCGCTTTGGCATGAGCCACGATGCCATGGGCATGGCAATGCTGCCAGCAGCCAGTGTCACGGGAAGGGCACACCCCCAAAACCCAGAGCTTTCTGAAGGCACTTCTCACCTCTCTCCAGGGCGAGGAGGAAATCCCTGTTCCTCTGGAGCTCCTTCATGAACTCTTCGTTCTGCAGGAAGAGCGCGATCCGCTCGTCCTCCAGGTACTGCTTCCAGCGCCGCTCCTGCTCCAGGGAGCCCTGACTCCGCGGGATGAGTCCCCGTGGCACAGGCTGCTGGCAGCTGTGGGAGCCCTGCTGGGAGCCAAGCAGGGCAGAGCTCAGTCACTGCTCTCAGTGCCCACAGCAGTGCGAGCAGGGGGTCCCTGCAGCAGCTGTGCTTGGCCTTTTGCCCCTCTGTTCTGCCTCTGTACCCCCAGCCCCAACAGCCACCCCATGGGGTCTCTCCCTCCTCACCCTGTGTCCAACAGCCAAGGGCACTGTCCCTCCTGCAAAGGGGATAAAGAGAGACAAGGCATCAATGCCTCTGCCCATCAGGAGGGAGGATGGAGCGGAGGGGATAGACATCCCACACAGGACCAGGGACTTCTCAGAGCCAGAAGTGCTTCTCTGCATAGACTTTAAACTGTGAGGTTGTGCCATGACAGAGCCTGGTGTGGAGGTGACGGAATGGTCTCAGCCAGTGCTGCTGCTTTTATTTCCCATCTCTAAAAAGCAGAGGCTGCAATTTCCCACTGACAAACGTCCCTGCACGAGGCACGTCACACCTGGCACCTGGGGAGCAGCAGAGCCGCGCGCTGCAGCACAACCTCATCCTTGCCTACAATATTTATCTGATTTGTAGCTGCTCCCAGAGAGCCATAAAAATCAAAAGCACACAATTACCGGGGAAAGAAAAGGGCAGCTGCTCCTCTCCTCCCCCTGAGCTCGAATGAATTGGCACGCTCCTATTCCCAGAAAGGTAATAGAGCCCACAAAGCTCAACTTGCAGGGCAATCATTCATGAAAAGGTGGCAGGCTGCCTCTGGAGCAGAAAAGGGAGGGAGGAGCAGGGTGCCTGCAGCCCCCCCAGCCCCTCACCATGCCAGGAGGTTGCTGGTCCTATTTGCAGCCTCCTGTGTTAGCAAAGAGCCAAGGGACACTCTGGATTGCAGCATGCCCAGCGTGGCCTGTGCTGGGGCTGCCTGTTCCCCACAGGGCACTGCCTGTTGCTGCCCTGCTGCAGGTACCCAAACCTTGTGGCTTCAAAACTGCCACAAAGCACATGGGGACTCTAATTTCCCAGGGGCAAATTTTTTGGCTTGCACTAGGCTTCCCTCCCAAGTTGCTCTGCAGCAGCCCCTGAGCTCCCTGGCAGTGCTGCTCTCCCCAAGAGCATTACTGGTCCTGCTGCTCCTTGCCAGGGCAGAAGGGAAGATTTTCACATCATTGAAAAGATTAGGTGCTTATGGCAAGTGTCACTTCTGGCACTGAACACTGGGATAATGGCAGGAAAAATATCAAAGCCTCACTGAAAGGTTCCCCTTTCACACCTTGTCTGCTTTGGTCCTGCCTTGAACAAGACATGCTCCAAGTTTAGTTGCTCCAGGTTTAGTATGCACCTGGTACCCAGATGTTTGCACAGTGCAGATGCTGCAATCTCAGGGTGGGTGAGGACTGGGATTGGTGCTCCATGCCATGCTGAGGAGCCAGGACATGGGCTGGAAGGGGCAGCAAGTCTCACCTGTGCACTGGCTGTCTGCTGGGGCAGGATGCGGAGGAAGTCCTCAGGGAGGTTGCCCAGGAGCGGTGGGTTCCAGTTCCTGTAGTGCCCAGGTCCTGGGGTGCTGCCAGGGCCTAGCACGTCCGTCCTGGAGGGCAAGCACAGACAGTCCCTTTGGCAAGGGAGAAACTCACCAACACCTGCCACAGCAGCAGAGCACAGGGCCTGGCATGGCAGTGCCCACCTGGCTCCACCAGCGGCCACAGGAACCAGGAAAACCCAGTACATCTCCCAAACCTGCGGCATGAGCATCAGCTCCGGAGAATGAAATGCTTTCCTAGCATGTTTGGAATCTTTGGGAGCTGCATTTCAAGCCTTGCTCCACAACTTTGCAGGCTCCCTTCTCCTTCTCCTCCCTGTTTTGCACAGACTCCCAAAACCCAGCCTGGTGGAGCCCCAGCACTGCAGGGATTTGTCTACAGAGCTGCTGAAGGTCTCTCATGAGATATCACATCCAGCCTGCACAGCCTGGGCAGCTCCTGCGCCCCAAGGGACCTGCCACAGACGTGCCTAGGACACCACACTTGCTGTCCCACAGCCCCAGCCCACAGCAGAGCTGCCAGGGGAGAGCCCCCACCCCATGAGGCCACTGACCCCCAGGGTTTGGCGACGCAGCATCAGCAACTCAAACCAACCCAAGGCCTGTGGTGCCGAGCGCCGCGTCGTGTGGAGCCCCAGCCACCCAGCACCTGGTGTTTTTGAGCAGAGGAGAGCACTCCCCACCCCCAGGAGCTGATTTTTGCCATTCCACATGCTGCCAGAGCAGCCTTCCGGGCCCCTCAGCTGTTCGTGTTTTAGGGCCTCGCAGGGATTTTTGAACCAGCTGTGAGCTTCACTCATCTCCC